CAGAGTATCAAACAGCAGAGGAAGATACAGCGGAGGATGAATATGAATAATATGATTGCCGTGACGAGGTGGATCGCAACGATGGCGGCGACCCGCCGACCATGACGACTGCAATATATCACAACGGCATCGGCGCTCAAGGTGACGACAACAATGTTGCAATGATTCCTCATGAAGTTGATTGTGAGTGAATTTGATGATGAGCACGGTGGTGATGACGATGGCCACGATGATGATAAGGACGATGATGATGATGAAGATGATGATGATAATGATGATAATGTCCACGACAACGATGAAGGTCCTGATGACGACGACGGCGACGACTACGACGAAGACGAATCGGATGAACGGGCGGCCGTCCGCCGCGGCAGAAGCGGACGGCCGGCCGAGGCCGCGGCGAACGCCCAAGAGATCTACGCGGCGGCCTCTGCTGAGATAAAGTCTGCGCTGCAAGGCTCTTCTCAGCAGGGGCACCCGGGCGCCTCTGCTGAGAAGGCGTGGGTCTGACCCCGGGATCGCCCGCTGGGCGTGATGAGACGACGCCCTCCAAGTAGAGCTTGTTTCATCAGGGCCAGACGACGATCCCAGGGTCAGACCCACGTCCTCTCAGCAGAGGCACCCGCGTGCCTCGCTGGGAAGACCCCTACAGCGCAAGCCTCATCTCAGTAGACGCCGCCGTGTAGATCCTAGACGTTCGCCGCGCCACGTGCTCTCAGCATGGCCGCTGGGTTGGCCTTGCCGAGAACGCGTAGAATGCGGCAAACGCCTAAGACCCCAGGGGCAGGGGGCTCGATCGGAAGCGAACCGCAGTTGGTGTCGGCTGTATCTTCTGTTGAAATACCGATGCCGATCATGGCTTGGTACCGGTACCTGTGCCGGCATCGGTACTGGTATCGATAGCGATTCTGCTACCGACAGGCGCATAACCGTTCTTAGCATCAACATTCGCACAGTCCAAGCGGGCCCTGCGGGAGTCTGGAGGAGAGGGGGCTGCAAGGAGGAGCGGAAGGGGCATGGGGGGAGATGGAGGAGGCAGCAGCAGAAGGAGGACCAGGACAAGGATGGAGACGAGGCGGAGAAGCATCACCAACATACCGATTTATAGGCTCAGTCCAGCATCCCCGACAGCGATTTTGAGCCTGGGTGGCTCCAAATATTGTTCGCGCGTCCACCGAATCATCGTCCTCCCGCCCCTGATTTGCCTGCGCCCTTGTCATCATCACAGTCGTCGTCATTGCTGGCATCGTCCTCTTTGCCATATTTCTTGCCCTCTCCCCCTTCCCAAACCTCCTTCTCCTCCCCCTCCTTCTCCTCCCCCCCTCATCCCGTTCCTCCTTCTCCTCGTCTTTCCTCTTCCTCCTCATCTTATTTTCCTCATTATCACCATCGTGTTCCTGATGTTATTCCTCCTGGTTCTTCTCGCCCCACCTCGCTCTCCTGGTTCTCCTCCTCGCCCTCAAAGTTCTCCTCTCGCTGGAGATTTCACTGTGTACCAAGGCGTGTCAGAAATTCATGTTCTCGCCTCGGCGCCGGCTAACTGCCACCTCGGGGCAGGGGCGCCTGGACCCCTCCTGGGGCGCAACTCGATATTAGCAGTGTAATGTAACAGGAAGCTTGGGCCTGGCCCCATCTGACTCCTCTCTCCCACCTCTCGGAGCCCAGTTGTGAGGATGTCTCAAGCAAAACTGACTGGGCTACCTCGTGCGCGGCATCTCGGAGCCCAGAGTTGCGAGGAGGTCTCAGGCGAAATTGGCCCGACCATCTCTCGCGCGGCATTTTGGAGCCCAGAGTTGCGAGGATGGATCAGGCAAATCCGGCCGGAGTACCTCGAGCGCATCATCACTGTGCCCGGAGTTGCGGGGATGCATCAGGCCATATTGGCCAAGCGACCTCGGGCGCGGCATGTCTGAGCCCAGAGTTGCGAAGATGTCTCAGGCGAAAATGGGCCAGATCACCTCAAGTCAGGAGCATCTCTGAGCCCAGAATTGCGAGGATGTCTCAGGCGAACCGGATCGGACAACCTCACGCGTCGCAATTTCGAGCCCAGAGTTGTGAGGATGTCTCTGGCGACATGGGCCAGATCACCTCAGGCCACAACAGTTCAGAGACCAAAGTTGCGAGGATGTCTCAGGCGAAACGGGCCCGACCACCTCGCACGCGGCATCTCTGAGCCTGGAGTTGCGAGGATGTCCCAGGCGAAACAGGCTGGACCACCTTATGTCAGAGTATCCCTGAGCCCGCGCGCGACATCTTGGAGCCCAGAGTTGCGAAGATGTCGCAGGCAAAATTAGCCGGACCGCTTCGCACGCGGCATCTCGGAGCCCAGAGTTGCGAGGAGGTCTGAGGCGAGTTTAACTGGGCCGCCTCGAGCCTGGCATCTCGGATCTCAGAGTTGCGTGAATGCCCGGGCGAATGGGGCCAGACCACCTCAGGTCAGGGCATATCTGAGCCCAGAGTTGCGAGGATGTCACAGGCGAGTCGTGCTGGACCAGCTCAGTCAGAGCATTTCCGATCCCAGAGATTCGATGATGCCTCTGGCGAAACGGGCCCGACCACCTCGCACGCGGCATCTTTGAGCCTAGAGTTGCGAGGATGTCCCAGGCGAAACAGGCTGGACCACCTTATGTCAGAGTATCCCTGAGCCCACGCGCGACAACTTGGAGCCCAGAGTTGCGAAGATGTCGCAGGCAAAATTAGCCGGACCGCTTCGCACGCGGCATCTCGGAGCCCAGAGTTGCGAGGAGGTCTGAGGCGAGTTTAACTGGGCCACCTCGCGCCTGGCATCTCGGATCTCAGAGTTGCGTGAATGCCCCGGGCGAATGGGGCCAGACCACCTCAGGTCAGGGCATGTCTGAGCCCAGAGTTGCGAGGATGTCACAGGCGAATCGTGCTGGACCAACTCAGTCAGAGCATTTCCGATTCCAGAGTTTCGATGATGCCTCTGGCGAAAATGGGCCAGACCACCTCGCGAGAGGTTTCTCGGAACCCAGAGCTGCGAGGAGGTCTCAGGCGAAGTGGGCCCGAACCACATCAATCCAGGACATATATGAGCCAGGATTTGCAAGGATCCTCAGGCGAGCCGGGCCGCACCTCTTCGCGCGCGGCATCTGGGAGCCCAGAGTTGCGAAGATGTCTCAGGCGAAATTGGCCAGACCACCTCGCGCGCGGCATCTCGCAGAGTTGGGGAGGATGTCTCAGGCGAGAATGTCTGAAATAAGCTTTTCCAGATCACCTCGCGCTCGGCATGTCTGAGCCAAGAGTTGCGAGTATGTCTAAGGCGAAACGGGCTGGACATCCTCAGGTTAGGGGCATATCTGAGCCCAGAGTTGCGAGGACGTCTCAGACGAAATGGACTGGACCACTTCGCGCGTGGCATCTTGGATCCCAGAGTTGCGAGGATGAGTCAGGCGAAATGGGCCAGGCCACCTTGCCCCTGGCAGCTCGGAGCCCAGAGTTGCGAGGAACTCTCAACGCAACGCAACGCAGCGCAATGGGAAGTGACGCAACAGAAATGCAATCCTATGCGTTGTAATGCAATGCCATGCAATGCAATGCACTGCAATGGCATTCCATGCAAGTGCAATGCAGCATATGCAACATGCAAGTGCAGATGGGCATGAGACAGAGGCTTCCACTGCGGGGGATGCGGGATAAAAAAGAGAGAGAGAGAGAGAGAGAGAGAGAGGGAGAGAAGGAGCGCGATAAGGAGGATGTGGAGTTGTTTTCCAGGTCTCTCCATGCAACTTGGCATGAACCACAGTGCAACACCAGTAGCAGGAGGCGGGGCTGGCAACAGGCTCAAGCACATCGGAAGCGAACTTATCAGGAACACGACGAGGGCCGCCGAAAGCCGCCGAGGGCCGCCGAAGGCCGCCAGGGGCTGCCGAAAGCCACCGGCGGCCGCTGAAGGCCGCCGAGGGGCGACGAGGCAGAGGAGGGGGAGGAGGAGGAGGAGGAGGAGGAGGAGGAGGAGGAGGAGGAGGAGGAGGAGGAGGAGGAGGAGGAGGAGGAGGAGGAGGTGGAGGAGGGGGAGGAGGAGGAGGAGGAGGAGGAGGAGGAGGAGGAGGAGGAGGAGGAGGAGGAGGGGGAGGGGGAGGAGGCAAGGAGGAGGAGGAGGAGGGAGAGGACGAGGTGGTAGTAGGACGTGAAAAGAGGAAGGAAGGGGAGGAGGACAGGAGGAGGAAGTGGAGGAGGAGGAGGAGGAGGGGGAGGAGGACGACGAGGAGGAAAAACAAGACCAGCAGCAGGAGGCGGAGCTGACAACTGGATCAAGCACATCTGGAGCCCACTTAGCAGGACAGAAGCCCACTTAGCAGGAGCACGACGATGATGATGATGATGATGATGATGATGATGATGATGATGATGATGATGATGATGATGATGATGATGATGATGATGATGATGATGATGATGATGATGATTATGACGACGCCGATTATGATGATTGTGATGATGATGATGATGATGATGCTGATGATGATGATGCTGATGATGATGATGATGCTGATGATGACGACGCTGATCATGATACTGATGATGCTGATGATGTTTTTGGTGATGGCGGCGGCGGCGACAACGGCGACGATGAAGATGTGCCAAGCTAGAACCTAAGCGCGCGCGAAGCGCGCGCGTGGTTCTAGTTGTTCAATACGTTGGAGGTCTGGGGACCTCTAAAGTTTACACCTGGAGAAGGAGGAAGAGGAGGAGGATGAGGAGGAGAAGGAAGGAGGGAGGAGGAGGAAGAGGAGGAGGAGGAGGATTCGGGGGAAGAGGAGGAAAAGGAGGATCCTCTTCCTCCTCCTCCTCCTCCTCCTCCTCATCCTCCGCCTCCCTCCCCCTCCTTCTCCTCCTCCTCCTCCTCTCCTCCGCCTCCTCCTCCTCCTCCTCCTCCTCCTCCTGCTCCTTCTCCTCCTCTTCCTTCTCCTCACACTCCTCCACCCTTCGCGTGCGCCGCCAACTGAAAGCCTGCCGGTGCCCCGGCGGGCTGGCCCGTCCTCGAGGACGGGCGAGGCCGCGTCGGCCTGGTACAGGAGCAGCAGCCCAGTCCAGGCCGTCGAGGCCACGTGCAGGTACCTGGGGGTCTTGGGCTCCTCCTCCTCCTCCTCCTCCTCCTCCTCGTCCTCCTCGTCCTCCTCGCCCTCCTCGTCCTCCTCGTCCTCCTCCTCCTCCTCCTCCTCCTCCTCCTCCTCCTCCTCCTCCTCCTCCTCCTCCTCCCCCGCCTCTCTTGCCATCGCTTGGAAGTCCATTACCCGTGCATTTTTCGGCTGCGTGCGTTCATTATTTCACAGGGTGATGCAAGAAGCTCCTCGATGGTCCGCGCACGTCCGAGCGATGCCGAGCTCTGGGCCTCCAGCGCACGGAGAAGCTCCACGCGGAGGCTTTGCGCCGTTGTCGGCCTCTGGGGGCCCTCGCAGGGCCCAGGGACCGTCAACAAAAACGACTCGAGATGCAAAGCCAACTCTGGGGACCCCATATTGCAAAAGTCAAGACACTGGAGGTCTGGGTCTCTGGGCCTCCAGGAGGGCCCTGGCAGCACTGCTGCCAGGTGCAGCTCGAATAACTGCTGCGGATCCCGGGAAGGGGCCACGTGCAGGTATCCGGGGTCCTGACGCTTTCTCCGCCCTCCATGAGCATCGCTGAACCAATCCCTATCCTCACTGGCGTGGCCTTGGCCCCACTGGCCGATTTACCTGCTTGATACACGCATGTTCCTCAGAGTTTCGCGAAGCCTATCCCCACCAATGTGAGAGTGGGCTGGTGGGGCTGAGATTTTGGACACCCGAATCGGGTATGGAAAACATGGGTACAATGCCCCAAATCAAATGTTGTCCAAAACCAACAGCGGTCTGTTGGGCAGGCGGCTGTAAATCTTCAGTGGACAAAGTCCGCGGCGGCGCGGACAGCGAGTCGTGTTCAAAATGAGCAAGAGCTGTTGTTGGGCATCGTGCCCATGCTTTCCGTACCCACTTCGATCGTCCCGAGAGATATCCTGGCCCAGTGGGAGAAGGAGGAGGAGGAGGCGGAGGAGGACGAGGAGGAGGAGGTGGAGGAGGAGGGAGGAGGAGGAGGAGGAGGAGGAGGAGGAGGAGGAGGTGGGGATGGGAATATGTGAGAAGGATGGCGACTCTCTTGGCCTCCCGGAGGGCCCCTTGCAGCGCCGCGGCTGGACGCAGCAGGGCAAACTGCTGCGAATCCTGGGCGGGGGCCTGGAGGCCGGTCTTGCACGTACTTGGGGGCCCCGTTTGGGGGGAGCGGCCCGGCGGTGCCGGAAGTAGCTCCAGCCGATGCCCGTGTCGGAGCCGCCCGGGTACGCCGAGTGGTGCAGGTTTCGCCGCCATGCCTCGTAGTTGCCGCCCAGCACGCTTGCAGGAACGCCGCCGTACCTGACGAGCAGGTGGTACAAGGAGTTCCTGGCCTCGTCGATGCGGCGGGCCAGCCGCGGATCTGCCTCGCCGCCGAGCTGCTGCCCGCTCTTGACCATTGCTATCGTCGCGCTGGCAGTCACCTCCCACTGGACGCCGGTGCCCCAGTTGGTGAAGCGGGTACCGTTCAGCCTGGGGGCCGCAACGCTATCGTTGCCCGCCCCGACGACATCTGCGTCGGACTCCCACATGCCCTGCTGGGCATGCAAAACGCGGGTCCTGAGGGAAACGGGTCCTGGACCATGGGAGCTCTCCCTCGGGACCCATTTTTCGTCCCAAGCCGTTTTGTCAAGGGTCGCAGGGCCCCATGGAGCGTGGTCACCAAACTTCTCGCATCGCGATGCGCGGTTGACCTTCGCGCCCCCGCGGGTGCCCTGTAGAGGGCCCCGAGGGCCCCGAGCGCGGCGACGAGCCACAGGACCCACCTCCCCTCGGGACCCGTTTCTTCTCCACCAGAGGCCTCCTGGATGGGGTCGGAGTAGATGGGGTCAGAGGATCGCGCCGCATCGCCGATGCATCGGCGATGCATCGCCGATGCATTGGCGATGCACCGGCGACGTCGGCGATGCATCGGCGAAGTCGGCGTGGAGGAACTCGGACTCCACATCGAGCCGCATCGCCGATGCATCGGCGATTCGGGGCGATCCTGCGACCCCATCTACAGTTACAGTGGAGGCCAGTCCAGAAGAAACATTCCACAAGAAACCCGGCCCTGAGACCCCAGGACGTCCCTTGACTTCTGGTCCGGGAACGTGTCACGCTCTCCGTCGCAGAACCGTCGAGACCCAAGAAACCCAGGGCACCCTGGAGGCCAGCAGGGTGTTTCTTGGCGTGGGCCTGCACTGTACTCGGACCCCACCTGGGAGGCCTGGATCCACGGCGACCTGCGTCGCCTCCCGCGAGCCCTCGGGCCCCTCCGGTCTCTGCAGCGCCCACCACACGGCGTCGGCGGCGCGCCAGCCTCCGGGGTCTGCCCCCGCCAGCAGGGTCCAGAACTGCGCGTCGGCGGCCACGGGCGCGGACGCGGGCACCGAGCTGCCGCAGCGCTCCTTCGAGCAGGGGATCGACTGCGGCATTGATTTGCCCCAGAGCTGTTTCTGGCCGACTCCACGGGGCAAACGAACGTCTTTTTTGTAGATTCGACGAGGAAATACATTTGGGGAAACATTGAATCTGTAGTCGATCCCCTACTCGACTCCTCCCCGGGGCTGCTCTTGCCCGTGCCCGTGGCGTACGCCCGCGGGTAGTCCGGCCGGCGCGCGTGCATCTGCCGCACGAAGCGCTCGGCGTGCGCTGAGACTGCGGCGTCGCCCAGCGCGCGCGCGAGCGCTGCCACGTCGAGGTTGTGCTCCGTGGAGCGGTAGTTGGCCGGGAAGGGGGGGAGTCTCCCCAGGTAGCCGCCCAGCGAATCGCCGCACACGCTGGCATTGGCCAGCGCCGCCAGGACATCCCGCGCGACCGCCGCGTAGCACCTGGCCTCCGGGCGGGACTTCGCTCCAGCCGCGGCGGCGTAGTGGGCGAACGCGAGAGCCGCCCAGGCGTTGTTGCCAGTGTCCACGGCCCCGTCCATGACCTCGACGCCCCAGTACTGGCCCGCGCGCGCCTTCATCGTGGACCGGTAGGCCGCGGCCAGCAGCGTCAGCGGGCGGCCAGAGGGGAGGCCATGGTAGACGGTGCCGGGGAACTGGATGCCGCCCCGCTGGCCTGGAAACGTGGACGATGGCCGGAGGTCCCCGGGGTACAGGAGAGACGTGAAGACGTCGAGGATTCGCCTCGCCTCCTCCAGCCGCCCGCGCTTCACGTAGTAGATCGCGGCCAGGGCGTTGTCGTAGACGTCCGACCGGTCGAGCGCGGGCGGGAGCCCGCACAGGTGGCCGCAGGGGCCGCCGCCGAGCGAGCCCGTCTGGGCCTGGAGCAGGCCGAGCCCACCGTCTACCTGGTGGTCGAGGAAGCCGTCCACCAGGGCCAGGCACGACTCCCTGCTCGGGAGGGAGGGGGCGCGGAAGAGGGGCGGGGGGGAGGGGGCACTCACTGCACGCATGCCTCCGGGCGCCTCGTCGAACGTAGGGGCGATCGGCGCCCCTGGGTGCCCGAGTGATCTGGGTCACTTCATCCGCCCCGCGGTGTGCGCCCATCTTCGCGCCCTCCCGCCGCGCCGCAAGAGAAGTGCAGCCGCTCTGGCCCAGATCGCGACGCGCGAAGCGCGATCATCTTCGCGCCCCCCAGGCGATGCACTGGGAACGTGCGGTTCTATATCTTGCTGCAAGACGTCTAGGGGCACGTTCCTCGTCGAGTTTCCAGCGCCCTGAAGGAGCGCGTTAAAACAAAACATGACAAGTAAACGACACTGGACAAACAAAAACCCGAACCACAAACTTTTTAGGGCTATGGGGCTATGGAACTCTAGGGCTATAGGGCTATAAGGCTATAGGGCTATAGTGACACAGGGCTATAGGGCTATAGGGCTATAAGGCTATAAGACTATAGGGCTATAGGGCTACAGGGCTATAGGGCTACAGGGCTATATGGCCACAGAGCTATTAGGGCTACGGGGCTAGAGGGATATAGGGCTATGGGACTATAAAGCTCTGAGGCTATGTGGCCATAGGGCTACAAGGCTACCGGGCACCCGGGCACCTGGGCACCCGGGCGTGCCACCGAAATCGGCGCCCACCTCACCTAATCATATGAATCCGCTAGGACCCCTAGAGAGACAAGCTCTGATTGGGGAATATTTTTCAACACAAGTGCAGGAAACTACTCGCGGCCATGACGGGCGTTACGGGGGGGAAGGAAGGGGGACGGGAGGGGGCATAACGTAGCGCCCCCCACCCCCCTCCAGACTCTGGTGCGGGACGCGCTGCGAAAGTGCTGGGGACGCACTGAGGGAGTGAACGTTACGTTATAGGGGGGGGAGGAGGCATACCGCGCGTGATGGCCTGGAGGGCAACCCAAACAACATGCTCAAGTGACCCAGGGCTCCTGTGGTCCCCCCAGGACTATCGGAGGATAAGAACCTTCAGAGGGGGGCACCTGCTCGCAAGGCAACATCCTACGCGAGGTGCCTGCTGTGTTCATTTTATGTCGGCGGCGCAGAGGGCCTTCAAGCGTGGGCAGCAGATGGAAGAGCTAACTGCGATCGAGCATCGTCGAAGGCACAGTGTACGAGACGTCGGTCCTTCTCCTCCTCCTCCTCCTCCTCCTCCTCTTCCTCCTCCTCCTCTCCTCCTCCTCCTCCTCCTCCTCCCCCCTCCTCCTTTTTCTCGTCCTCCTCCTCCTCCTCCTCCTCCTCGTCCTCCTCCTCCTCCTGTGCTCCCCCCATGGGCAGCCCCCTGTTGCAGCCGCCGGCCTGCCTGCTCCCGCAGGCGAGCGACCGCCCGCCCCCGGCGGCGGGGAGCTCCTCTCGGAGGCGGCCCGCTTGAGACAGCAGGAGCTCGGCCACGAGGAGCCTTCCTCGAGGAACCCCACCCTGGGACTCCAGGATGTCTATTGATCTTTGTCATGGGGACGTCACGCTTTCCATCGCTAAACCATCGACGCCCTAGATGATCCAGGGCACCCTGGAGGCAAGCAGGGTTAGTTTCTTGGCATGGGTTTCCACTGCAAGACGAAGCCAAGATGAGGATAACATCGGGCGAGGATAAATCGGGGATCTGGAGGATGTCTCTGGCGCCGCGGCCTTCTCAGAGCGTTCCGGGACGCTCTGAGAGCGTTCCCGAACGCTCCGGAACGGATTTATCATCCTGGCCCCGCCCTCCCGCCACGTCCGCTCAGACTCGGGGGGAGGGAGGAAGGGAGGGAGGGACAGAGGGAGGAAGGGAGGGAGGGAGGGAGGAAGGGAGGGAGGGAAAGAAGAGGGGCCCGCTCTGCGCAGCGGAGCCGCGACGAGAGGCCTCTCCAGGGAGGCCCAGACGAGGAGGGTCGCAAACGCCCTGGGAAGGCCACGGCTGACTCGGCTGGCTCTTTTCCGAACTCCCTCCCGGGCGGGTGGTGATGGGGGGCGACCTGTATGGAAGAGAAGAAAAGTGCCCTAAAAGGGTCCTTTAAGGCCCCTGTTGGAGCAAGCAGGGCCCAGAAGGGGCCCAGAAGGGGCCCTGAAGGGCCCTGTCAGGGTCCTTCCTTCAACCCCCATTGAAGTCACCCCCCATTACCACCCGCCCGACCCTCCCCGGACCTCCCCGACGCCATGGTCTTCTCACGGGCCGTGGGCCCCTGGTGAAATCCCGACGCCTTCCCTTCGGGCCGGTTTTGCGTCCCCGAGTCGTTCTCTGACGGCTTCGGAGCTCGGTAGATTGCCCCCCCAAAGCCGAACATGGCCACAGTCTTACCGTCGCTGACCTGACTTCGCGCACCGCTGCCCCGCGATGCGCGGGTATCTTCGCGCCCCCCACGCCGCCGCCGTGGACAAGGGCGCTTGTCCAACCAGGGCTGCGAAACGCGAGGGCGATCAACTCTGCGTCCCTGGGGGCGGCATGAAACTATCCACGACGAGAGGAGGAGGAGGAGGAGGAGGAGGAGGAGGAGGAGGAGGAGGAGGAGGAGGAGGAGGAGGAGGAGGAGGAGGAGGATCCCACGCCACTGAAGGGCGCACGTCGTTGTCTAGGCCGCGCCAGCTGCGCCGCCGCCGCCGTCGGCCCCCGCGGGGCCAGCACTCAGGACCGCGTCCACGGAGAGCACCTGGTAGGAGTTGCTGGTGCTTGAGGCCGTGTTCGCGTGGCCGACCGCCTCGACCGAGTACTCAACCTCATGCGAGTCCTCCACGTTATGCACTGATGAAGACCCGACAGGACCAGAGCCATCCATAGGCTCCATCTCATTCTCATCCCTCTGGCCAGATACATCTTCTTGTTGTAGTTGTCCTTGTTGTTGCTGTCCTTGTGGTTCCGCTCCACCATCATGCAGTACTTGGGCTCGACCAGAACTCCCATAATCCACTCCATCATCAGAACCACTATGGTGTCCAGCATCTTCCACTTGAGGCGCAGCGTCACCAGCCAGTAGTACTTGGCCACGTCCGCCCCACCCACGTTCCGCATCTTCACGAGGAGGTGGTGCACCATCACCTTGACGAGGCTCAGGACCTTCACCAGCTTCATCTTCAAGAGGAGCACCGCAACCACACAGATCAGCTGCAGCACCACTCACCTCAGGAACACCTTCAGCCTCGAACGATCCTGCCTCGCCGATCATGGGGGGACTGCCACTCCCGCCCGTGCCGACAGTATCCACTTCTTCTTCATCTTCCTCTGCTCCAGCATCTGGATCAAATAGATCATGACCATTTCTCAGGTTCGCGACAACAGAGAGCACCTGGTTGGAGTTGCTGGTGCGGGAGGCCGTGTTCGCGCCGCCGACCAACCCCACCGCGTACTCAACCACAGGCGAGTCCGCTTCTTGTTGTTGTCCTTGTTGTAGCTGTCCTTGTGGTTCCGCTTCTCCATCATGCGGTACTCGGACCCGACCAGCACTCCCATGGTCCACACCACCATCAGAGACGCCAACGTGCCCAGCATCTTCCACATGATGCTCAGCGTCACCAGCTCGTGGTACTTGGACACGTCCACCACTACCACGTTCCACATCTTCGCGGGAAGGAAGTGCACCATCACCTGGAAGAGCCTCAGGACCTTCTCCAGCTTCACCTTCGTGAAGAACACCGCTACTAGGCACATCAACTGCCGCACCACTCACATCAAGGACACCTTCAGTCTCGAGCGGTCCCGCCTCACCGACCATATTGAGACTGCCACCCACGACTGGGCCGATGTCGTCCACTCCTTCTTCATCTTCTACCTCATCCACACTACGACGGCCAGAGTCATATTCTTGTTGTTGCTGTCCTTGTTGTAGCTGTCCCTGTTGTTCCGCATATCCATCGTGCAGTACTTGGGGTCGACCAGCCCTCCCATGGACCGCGCCATCATCAGAAACGCCAAGATGCCCAGCATCTTCCACTTGAGGCTCAGCGTCGCCTGCTAGTGGTACTTGGACACAACCGCCACTCTCACGTTCCACATCCTCGCGATGGGGAAGCACACCATCACCTGGAAGCGGCACCTGACTTTCACCAGCATCACCTTCATGCGGGACACCGCTACTAGGCCGACCAGCATCATCACCACTCTCACCAGGAACACCTTCAGCCTCGTGCAATCCCGCCTCGCCGACCAGAGGGGGACTCCCACCCCCGCCCGCGTCAACGTCGTCCACTTCTTCTTCATCTACTCCTGCTCCAGCATATAGATCAAGCTGACCATGACCATCAATGGCAGGGAGAAGAAACGCAGCAGGGTGACGAAGCAACCAGTCAATCTCGTAGAACTTGTCCCTCGTCAGCCTGGGAAACAAATGGTGAAGTAGCCGCGAAGCTTGCGAAACCTGAGGTTCCGACATATCATCAAAAGTCACCAAATGGTCCGGCCAATGTCCATGCGGTCGTTCAGAATGAGGAGCCAGCGAAACCGATGACCAGGACAATGTGTTCGCGGCATCATACTGTATGCTAGGATCAGCAGGCAAGATCATAGGAACCACAGTGATGACTGCCTGAAGCGTTTTGCGCCCTAACATGTCCCAATCCACATCACCAACGCTGGCAGATGACTGTCCGCCCTGTTCACACAGAACAGCCGCAGTACCACCAGCAGCCAGCGCGCGTTGAATCGTGAGGACTTGCCGTCTAAGCTCAGCTTCATCCATTGGTTCGTGGCCGCGAAGGCCCAGAACAGCAAGACCCAGCACAGCATGCCCTTCACCCTCCCCAGTCTGCACGAGATCTGTCTCCGCCACTTGATAGGGCGCCGCATGACCCACAGAGGCATCTGCAAGCAGAACTTGCTGCCGAGCGATGTCTGCTTACCCCACAGGGTCAGCACCATGAGAAGAATAACTTGAACTTGAACTTGAACTTGAAGAGCATGGGGGAGTAGGCTCACGCCTGCGCTGAGGTAGTTCTTGAGCGGGGGCAGTGTGTACCGAGGCCGCT